CCAGACCTGCAACCAGGCTCCAGAGCACAGGATGCAGGTGTCTCGGGCAGTGCAGCTTGCCCCCTCTGTGGGCCCAAAAGGAGCCCAATGGGGTCACTCGCCCCTCCTGCCACACCAGGCGCGCCACCTGAAGGAAGAGGGCTCATGGCACACACTGGATCTACCGTGGACTTTCTAGCCTGCTGAACTGTGGACGAACAATTCATGCTATTCCTAAATTACTCAGTCTAAGGTATCTCGACAGCCTGGGTGAACCAACACAGGCTCACAAGGAGCCACAGAGTTGAAGCACAGATGAGGTTTCACCCACAGTGGGACTGGAACTTGGAAGTGAATGCAAGGCAACTAGAGGGGAGTCATTTAGTGCAGCAGAGCAGGGGAGCCTGAAAGCCTACCTCCAGAGAAGGGAGGCAAGGGAGCCTGGGAGAGAACTCCCAGGACAGCCCAGGTCTCCAGGGCGATCAGGAAGGGAGAATTAGCAAGATTAATGGAAGGGCTGTGCTCTTCAGCTATGGCCTTTACGGAACCCGGAGCTTTCCTCCTTCATTAAGGCAAAGCGCTCCCTTTCTTCCCTGTATGAATTTCAGACTGAAGAACCTGTGAAGGAGACTACAGACACTGTTAAGGGAAGATCTGCAAAGGGCAATGAGCGCTTAGGGGTCAAGGTTAGTCCTCAGCCTCCAGCACTTCCCAGGGCAGGCTTCTCAGGCCCAGACTTTCGCACCCAGCTCCAAGGGGGCAACTGGCCGCCACCTGAACTTTTTTTTTTTTAACCAGTAGTAATTATTAATGGAAAAACTTAAGTTCCCAATATACCTATTATTCCCACATCACAATTTCCATATAACAAATTTTATGTGTATAATCACTTAGAAAATGGGATAAAAGCAAGGTTACTGCTGTTTGGCACAAAAGTTCTTCAAAGACGTTCAACATTATTCTTCAGATGGTAATTTTCATCCCCGAGAACAGGTGAAAACAGGCCAAGTACAGTTTGCTCCGTCAGCCACTATTGCCGTTGCCACAAAAGGCCACGGTCTAGGGCATGCACGCGCCTCTGGCCCATCTCCCAGGATGCCCACCCAAAGCAGGAGAACCACCTTGTAACCCCAAGGCGCATCCTAGTACCAATTTATCTCTAGTGAGAGATCCCTGAGCACATAGGGACTTTCTGCAACACACACGTCCATAATGAACTCTGCTGCCTTGCAATATTTTTTCTTATTACTTAGCAGGTCTAATTTCCCTTTGCCTGTGTGTTTTAAACAAAAACAACAAAGATCAGATTCTAGTAATTGAGCTGGGCAGACACTCTGCACTACTGCATAACACAGCTTTATAAAACCCTTACCCTGGACACAGAAAAACAAGCGTAGACCCTTGGCAATAGAATCAAGAACCAACGCACTCACAGGGCTGGGCAGGCGGCAGTGGGGCAGGCAGCGGGAGCCCTGAGTCCTTACCTCTCACACCCTTCATCCAGATCCTGGCAATCACACAGACAAGCAGCCACGTGGTTCTTCTCCCCATTGCGATCTATGTACTCGCAGCAGCACAGAGGCTCCAACTCGGGTTCTTCGGGTTTCTTCTTCACGGGCTTCATAGTGCCCTTCGGCGTGGTGATCTGCACCTGTCACCATGAGGTGTAAGAAGCCTTCAGAAGGTGAAGGTGGCGAGACCACAATTCACATCTTGTAAACACATCCACGCTTCTGAGCAGCCGCCAACGCCTAAGCAACCAAAAAAACGAGAAGAAAGCCTGTTGTCATCCGCTTCCGTGGCGCTGCTTGGCCAGGCAGGGGGCTCCAGGACTGGAAGGGAGGAGGGGAGTGGGGGATCTTAAAGCTTTCCCCTCTGCCCCTTCCCACCCAAGGCAGACGCTGTTGGGACACCAGCCGTTCCCATGGTGACGGTAGACCACGCGGCCCGGGACAACTGGAGCGCGGGCGGTGGCGTTCACCTGCGGGTGCAGAACTGGGAGGGCGGTCTCCGCCCCAAGACTAGGAGCTGGTGAAAACTCACCCCTGGGGTTGCAGGGAGACGCGCACTGTCTGCCAGCTGGAAGCGGCGGACGCTCCTGGCTGGTAGGAGCAGCAGTCCAGCTCCAGGAATGCCACCGGGAAGCCGGGCAGAGCTCAGGATAGCCGTCCAGCCCCTGCTCCTCCGGCTGCGCACCGGGCGCGCCTCTCCCGCCCCCGCCAATCGGGAGGACGTGGGCGGGCCTCGAGCACCGCCGCCCCGCCCGGAGAATGACCTTGGAAGGGAAGTTACCTGCTCTCCCGACGGAGGTGCGGCTGCAGCCCAAGAGGGCGGGCACGGAACGGAGGAGGGTCGGCTCGTCCGGAGAAGCGGACCCCGGCCCCGCACAGCCGCGCCCCCGCCGCAGCCGCCCACCTGTGACCGCAGCCGCCGCCGCCCTGTCCACCCCCGGCCGTCCGGGCTCGGCGCGGCAGGTCCGCGCGCTTCCGGGTGCCCCGCCTCCGGGGATGCCCGCCCGCCGCCCCTCCTCCGGCCCGCGGCCGCCGGGAGAGCCCGAGGGGCGGCTTCCCGGAGCGGCGTCCCGGGGCGGCGTCCCGTGGCGGCTTCCCGGAGCGGCTTCCCGGAGCGGGGCGCCTGCACCCGCGGCCGCCCGGGTCTTCCCGGCCGGTGTCTGCGGGAAGCGCGTGGGCGGGGCAGCCTCGGGAGCCCTCGGGGTGCGAGCGCGGTGCGGAGACGGAAATACGGGAAAGCCTGGAATCCGGAGGATTTCCGACCTACGTGAGCGCGTGGTGGGCCAGTCCTCCTCCGGTGGCCGGCAACAGGCGTTGGGGGAGAGCCCCATCATAAAAACGAGCAAGGTTCCTCCGCCGCAATTCGCCAACCTTCTCTTAAAGGCCGGTCCCGGCTCACGGGTCAGCCAGGTTAGCCAGGTGGTAGGTTTTCCTGATTTCGGCAGGCAATCCCTACACCAGACCAACAGGCCTCTAGGGCACTTTCGTTCAGTAGTCTGCTTGTTGGAAATTGCCCTGAGATGGGAGAGTCCTCTGGGTTTTACTTCTGCACCAAATTTTACCAAGTGTAGGTTGGTGTGCATGTTTCCACTATTGCAGGCTTCAAGATTTGGGATTTTTTTTTTTCCATATAGAAAAAGGAAAAATATGGCTCAGATATTTTGGATTTTTATATCCATTTACAAAGCAGATTCAAATTTTATTCATTGAATTCTGCATGCTTACATATACATCTTTAGTCTTAATTTATACAGCAACTTTGGTAATATCTGAGGTATGCTATAAAGTACAAGTTTTAAAGAAGCATTTAAAAATAAGCAGTTTGCTAATGATCACTTCTGTGAACTTAACGAAGAAAGTTCAAGTTTATAATTCAGTCGCCTCTGCTCACAGTCAGACACTTAGTGAGTCCCGCACCAACAACAACAAAAAAAATCTCAGGTAGGTGTGCTGGTCCTGGTTAAATCAGATGGGATTCACCCAGCAGAAACCCAATTACCTGCTAACAGTTGGTACTGGCAACTCAGAAATGAATTCAGCAATGTCCTGAGGCATTGAGAAAGGTGACACTGGAAACATTTAACTGGAGATAAAGATTGTTTGGACAGTAAAAGCTTACTCTGTGTGTGTGTGTGTGTGTGTGTCCTGCACACAGGCTAGAATGCCAGAGAAAGGATTAAGTCAAACAAAACAGTAATCCAGGACACTCCCCAGATCTTGGGGGGGAGGGGAAGAATGGCAGCAGGAACAGTTATTTCACCTCAGTTCATCATGTCCTTATTTTGCACAAAACTGTCTTGACACATACATGCCCAATAACTTTTAAGAGCCAAAGCTGGTGTTTTGCCTTAAACTTCAAAGTCCGTGCACTTGTATAGAACATGCATGACCCAAGCTTTTGTTAAAGAGCTAAAATTTGTGTCTGGCTTACCATTTGCCAAGTAAAGCAAGCCACACACATGGGGAATATAAAGCCTGACGCCTGACATAGCTCCTGAAAAGTAATACACAGTTATTTTCCACCTGATGAGTCACTTCCACCAAGAAAAGTTGTGAACGGAAGCTGAGTCTAACTCAAGTGTGTGTGTGATCCCTCGCTGAGTACCCAGATTTTAACATCATCTCCTGGTTTTCAAGCCTAAGAGGAGGGGTCCTCGTCTTGAACACTGGTACCTTGTTTCTCTTTCCTAGTTCTCTGCTGTTATTTCATGTATGAAGGGGCAAGATAAGCTCAACCCTGAGAACTAATACCTTAAGAAAAACACAAGGATCTCTTCCACAGTTACAGATAATAATCAGCAGCATTCACATTCAAAGGGTTGGGCTACTGAGTCTACAAGTTAAATAAAGCAAGATACTAAGATTTATACCACACAAATCTAGAAATGTTATGATATGTGCCTGGAAGTGGATCCTTTACAATTAGCAACGATTTAGATGTTTCTTCTTTCTTCTTGTATTCTTTAGTCTATTGAACTTAACCTCAACCTGTTGGACATGTAGCAATTCTTGTGCTGAGAAATTGAAAAGTATCAGACTTCAAGCCTCACACAAGAAATGAGGCCGAATACTCTAATTCAGAGTGTCCCATTTTCTTGGAGGATCACAGAAATTTAGTTCCAGAAATGTGTATCAGTTCACTGGAGGAAAATTCACAGCTTAGAAATATGTGTGAGAGGGCTCAGCATGGTGGCCTAGAGGCTAAACTCCTCACCTTGTATATGCAGGGATCTCATATGGGCACCAGTTCATGTCCTGGCTGTTCCACTTTCCATCTAGCTCCCTGCTTATGACCTGGGAAAACAGTGGAGGATGGCCCAAAGCCCCAGGACCCTGCACCCTCCCCTACACGTGAGAGCTCCTGGCTCCTGGCTTCGCATTGGCGCAGCACCAGCTGTTGCGGTCACTTGGGGAGTGAATCATTGGACGGAAGATCCTTCTCTCTCTTTTCTCTGCATAGTTAACTTTGCAATAAAAATAAATAAATCTTAAAAAGAGTCTGTTTATAAAAAAAAAAGAAATATGTGTAAGAAGTGAATCATCTAATTATCAAATAAATGTTTTTGAAAAGACTTAGAAACACTAGAAATCTCAGTAAGGAGAAAACATGGCAATGTTCCCACAACCATTAAAGTCCTTCACCCTCTGGTTTCTTGCAGGTGTTCTCTTTGAGCGTCAAGCTGTCAGCAGTTGCAGGCCTTCAGATCACTAGCCTTCCACAGCCGTACCAGTCTTGTTCTTATTTAGTAGATCAAAAGTTTTCTGAAGCATCACAAGGGAGCTCTTCAGCTGCAAACAAAAATCAATTTGCAAAAATCAGATTGTTTAAATTTTACTGATTATTTTATGCCAAAAATTAACCATGACATTGACTACAATTCTCCTACAGATGCCCCTGGGAGACGCTGGCTGTGAAATGGTGATTCCTTACAGCCTCTCTCAGTATCACTGCTCTTCCCATGGCCTGGAAACTTGCACTTTCCTGGAGCTTACATGCTAACTTCTAAGAGGTTCATTCAACAGCTGTCCTAAGTGGAAAGCTTTTGTTTAGTGGTTTTGGAAGTTACAATGGTCTCCCTCCATCCCACCAGTCCCTAGACGGCACAACTGCACTGCCAGGCTTCTGCCTGCACTTAGGTGCATGTTGCTCTGTACCCTCTAACACACTCACCCAGGGAGCTTTCCCTCACCAGGCTGGGCCCTGGCCTGAGCTCTAGAGATGCAACAATGAGCAAACAGTCCCTACCTGTATGGAGGGATAGACTAAAATAAACAGGAAAGCAGATATTTTAGTACAAGTTTCACTGGAGCAGCTGGTGGTGTCATTTTCTGAAAAAGACCCACTAGAAAAAAATGAAGTTTTGACTTGGAAGAAAATTCAGTTCTGTTTGGATATGATGATTTTGAGCTGCTTATTAGCCATCCAGCCTAGATGCCAAACAAGTAGGCCAGTGCAGAGCTCAGGGAAGAGACGGGGAGAGAGATATGGAATTGGGCATTGCTGTGGACTGAGTGTCTAGGGCACCGACAAACCCTATGTTAAAGCTTACTCCCCATATGCCTTGTTAGAGTTATAAGCCTGTTGGGACTATCCTAAAATTCACCAAGTTCAGTAAAAATCATGCTTCAATACTATAAGCTGCTAAATATAAAAATGAAAATAGACACAAGATAGCTGAATAGTACCCTATAACCATACTAAGGTGTATAGCAGCCAGTTGTATATAAACTAAAATTGAAAAGTCAATGAAGTAGTCACAGAATGTGGTTAAGAACTTGCATTTTCTAACATATTGGTCACTCAACACCATGTCAATTAACTCCATAATGTTGTAAATTGTTGTTGATGTTATGTTGTGGCTTTTCATTGGAGGGGATGATATTCTGCCAGCTCTACTTTCAGACCAAGGATGGTCTCCCAATGAAACTATTGATTTGATCTGGACAATAAGATGCTGGACTCCATGCAAGGTACATGCTCGCAATGAAGGAATCATGACTGGATAGACTGGATATGAACTATACTACTGCAACAATGTGGAGGAATCCAACATCGGAGGAGGGCGTGAGGAGGGGTTGAGGGAATCCCAGAGCCCATGAAACTGTGTCATAAAACAAAATTTAAAAAAATAATAATAACAAAAAACTTACTCCCCGGTGCAACAGTATTAAAAGGTGTGGCCTTGGGGAGGCAGGACCTCGTGAATGGAATAAAACTGAGAGGAACAGTCCGGGGGAATTAGCAAGGTGCCTTTTGCCCTTTGTCCTCTCTGCTGCTAATCCTGTCTGGTCCCTGATTTTGGACTTCCCAGTCTCTAGAAGTGGAGCTGCAAGTTGCAGAGTACCCACTTTTTTTGTTTGTTTGTTTCTTTTGACACAGCCAAAGCAGACTGAGACAGGCATCAATAGCAGGTGGTTACTTGAAGTTAGGGGAGTGGATAAGATCACCTACAGGAAAGCAATGGAAGAAGGAAGAGAATGCCTTGGGGCATTTAGGCCAGGAAGAGGTCAGGTGGAAGTGATGATTCTCCCCAGCAAAGAATAATTCTACATTATTCTAAGTGAAAAGCCAGCTGCAGAATATTACATATTGTATGATTCCATTTATAGGAAATGTCAGAACAGGCAAATGTGTAGTAATGGACAGATTACAGGGTGCTAGGGTTATAGGGGGTGACTGCTAATGGGTATGAGGTTTCTTTTGGAATGATGAAAAGGCTCCTGGTACTTGACAGTGGGAGCGGCTGCACAATCTTACAAATATACTAATAATTCTCTACAAGGGTGATTTTATAGATTGGGAATTTATCACAATATAACTGGGTTTTGAAAAACTGGTTGTAAAGAAAACAATATTAGATATAGTTCAAGAAAGGAGTGGTCAGCACTATCAAATGTGTGCATAAGGTGAAAACTCTAAAAAAAAAGATGTGGTATTTTTACTGGCTAAAGGTCAATGGAAATCTTGGTTCCCATAATACCAGTGTGGAAATGATGAGAGAAGATCTGGCAGGAGTGAGCAGAAGAGCAACTTGCTAGATGAAAGGTATGCATTCAGCTCAGCATCCTCCTGAAACCCCATATGACATATAGCCAAGGGATCTTTCTTTTTAAAAGCATGAATCAGCAAGGGTGGGAAGAACACACCAGAGCATGCAACAGCAGTGTAACTCTGGAAAGCGACTAGATGACTGAGCAAACCTGACAAAGCTGAATCCTAAACTAACAGGGGGTATTCCAGAGCCAACAGTGTTAACCCGGAAGAATCCTCAAAAGACTCAGCGCAGCACTGATGGTCAGGAGTATCAGGAAGAGGGAGTCAGAAAAGAGAAGCCAAAATAAGGATGGGACAAAACTTTGGGCATCAGGGCTCGATGCCACGGCCTAGCAGCTAAAGTTCTTGCTTTGGACACACCGGGATCCCATATGGCACAGGTTCTAATCCTTGCGACCCTGCTTCCCACCCAGCTCCCTGCTTGTGGCCTGGAAAAGCAGTCAAGGACGGCCCAAAGCCTTGGGACCCTGTACCCACATGGGAGACATGGAGGAGATTCCTGGCTCCTGGCTTTGAATCAGCACAGCACTGGCTATTGTGGTCACTTGTGGAGTGAATCACTGGATCTTCCTCTCTGTATATCTGACTTCGCAGTAAAAATAAATAAATCTTAAAAAAAAAAAAAAACCTTGGGCATCTAACATTGCGTACTACATAGGCAGTGGTATGGCATTTTATTTTCTGGCCAGGATAAGCAGGACGGTAATAGCATGGCAAAGACATGGACTGAAAGAGGAATCATACATTGCATGCGGGGGGCTTCCACCACGTCCTTCCCCCTCCCCATGCTTAAACACAGCTCCACCCTTCACCTTTTCAATGAGGGGACTAGGTAATTCTTTGAACAAGACTGACCTTCCTGTGACCACCTGACCTGGAGACACTGACAGCAACATTTCAGCAGATGTATCTATACACAAGTTCAGGTATATTAGCCCAAGGCACGTGTTAGGCGCTTCCACACAAGTAGACCATAAAGGACGATCATTATTAGTCTAAAGAAATCCTTTTGCACTAAAGGTAGAAATTTAAATGGGGAAAAGGATCTTGACAGAAAATGAGTATGCACAGAGAAAAACTTAAAAATTTATCAATATGACAGAGATTATTGCCATTTAAAAAGATACAACAAGAACTAGCATTACTGCACAGCATGTAAACTGCCGTTTGTAACTCCAGCATCACCTGTGGGAGGTCCTGTTTGAGTCTTGGAGGCTCTGCTTCTGCTCCAGCTCCCTGCTAAGACACCAGGGGCAGCAAACAGATGGTGACCCAAGTCCTTTGGCCCACCATATGTGTGAGGGTCCTATTCTGGGCACCTGAGAAGGCCTGGCTGAACTCCAGTCATTTGGGGAGCGAACCAACAGATAGAAGAGCTCTCTGTCTCTATGTCACTTTGCCTGTTGTCAACATAATTTTTCTTAACAATTGTAACTGTACAGCAGAAAGAATTCAGAAAATTGGCATCTCTTTGAAATTAAAAACTTGTTGACAAAAACTGAAAAATTCATTAGAATTTGGAGATAGAGTCAAGCGAATTGTTCTGAGGTAGAACAGAAAAAGAGATGGAAGCTGGAAAAAGAGAAAGAACAAGAAGGGCAAGAAATGACTCCAGAAAATTTCCAGAATTTTCGCAGGATATGAATTTCCAGATGAAAGGACAAGTAACAATGGCATCAGAATTTTCATTAACAACACTGGAATATAAAAAGACAATGGAGTGGGGCCACAATTATTACTCAGGAGGTTAAGCCACTGCCTGCCACGTTGGTATCTCATATTGGCACAAGTTCAAGTCCCAGCTGCTCAGTCCCATCTAGCTCTCTGCTGATGTGCTTGGGAAATCAGTGAAAGACAGCTCAAGTACTCAGGTCCCTGCAACCCACTTGCAACACCTTCATGGAGTTCCCGGCTCCTGACTTGACCCAGCCCCAATCACTGCGGTTACATGGGCAGCGAGCCAAAGGATGGAAGATCTCCCTCAGCCCCTTTCTCTTTAACTGTCTTCTAAATAAGTAATCCTTAAAAAAAAGAAAGAAAAAAAGACAATGACACAATGACTTCAAAGTTCTGAAGGAATATTCTTTCCAATCCAGAATTCCATCCCTAGTGAGACTATTAATCAAAGGGTAGTATTGAAATTTTCACTCAGTCAAAACTCTTTAATATTTACCTATGAAGTCTGTTTTCAAGAAGAAGCTACAAGAACATATGCTCATTAGAAGGAGGAAGTAAGCAAGATAAGAAAATGTGGGATATAAGAAAACAAGAGGTAGACAACAGAAATTCCCAGAATAATAGCTGTGCACTAAGCCCAGAAGGCCACTGGGCCTCACTGGCGCAAACCAGGAGGCTCCAAAAATAGCACATCTGAGTGGATGAAGGTTTGGGAGGAGATTCATAAGCAGAGTCAAAGGATGAAGCAGTATCGTTCATAAATAATACTGATAACCTAATCAACTATAACACGATAAGTTCAGGGGATTGCCAGCACAGAACAGAAAAGGTAGTCATGGTTTATTCTATGACTCAGCGTGGAGTAGCAAATTAAATTTTAAAAAGTAAATACTGAGTATTGAGTTGATAAAAATTATGTTATTCACTGAGGACGGAAAGAATTAAAATTATATGGCAGGAAGGGAGATAAATGGGAAAAAAGAGTAAATTCTTATTTCTCGCTAACAGAAAATCAAAATAGATAACCTCTAAATGGAAAAATTAAGGAACTAAACTGAGTTAGGTATGGTTATCTTTGCGAAAGGAATGGAGAAAGGGGCATTGGGACAATATTCCCACACAAACCATGTAGAACAAGTAACTTACTATGTGAACAAGTGATATTAATGAAAATACAAACTTAAAAAGTGGATGGGTTAAATGTCCAAATACAGAAAACCTATGTGTTCCCTCAAGCATTTAACATTTCTTTATGGTGAAAAAAAATGTATACATGTGTCAAAATATCACATGATACCGCATAAATGCATACAATTTTATTATGTGTCTGTTCCAAACAAGTTTTTAAGTGTGTGGATCACGAGTAAAGTGGTAACAGCCAGAGCAGGCAATTCTGAAAGAGCCTGGCAGTGGAGGGGAGTAGAAGCAGACAGTAGAGGAAGGAGAGGATGACCAGGGTTTGCTGATAAAGAGTAACAGCGCAGAGTCAGGCGCTCCTGGCAAAGACCCTGTTGACCAAGGAGAACCGAAACTGAGGGTGCCAGAGGAAAGGAGGGAGTCTCTCACTCACAGGAGTGGGTGCTTGCCTCCCTAGGCTGAGGAAGGCCTCTAACAGGGATGAGGAGGGAGACAGGGTGCACGGATGAGGAAGGCTCCTGGACTTGGCCCAGGCGGGAGAGAGACTGTTTCTCTGTGAGGCACAGTGATCAGTTCAAAGTGAGGAGAGGAGGAAAATGGTGGGAGGTGGAGGTTACAAACCAACTGTGCACCCAAAGAATGCTTCTGTGAGACAGTAACTCAGGTGTCCACAGGATATCCTAACAAAGTCTCAATAATTCACATTTCAGTACAATTCTATTTTCTGGTTTTCAGTTTTGAAAAATACGAATCTTATCCACAATCAAAGTATTAATCTTTCTCCAAGGAAATCCTAATTCTTGGTTCATGGGACTGAAGAATATATACAAAACACTACAAAAACATAATGGAAATTGGAAAGAACAGATATGTTTATTCTGGAACACAACATTTTTTGAAATCCATGAATAGGAAAGATTTTCAAAACATTCATGGAAAGAGTTATCATGAAAAAACACCAGTGTGTATAGTGTGCTCCCACTGTGTAAGAACAAGGCACAGGCAGCTCTGTTTCTGACATGTGTCATACAGTAAGCTTCTTCAAATAATGGTACAACGTTCCCTCATCGCCACAGCCGCTGGCTCACTGTGGTAATGCAGGGCCTCATACCTGTTCAAGCATCACTATGGAGTCTTGGAGCACTCCTTTTAAATGATGGGCTTGACCTTTGCTTTTTGGAGTATTTTCTGCTCTTGACACCACATCAGAGGCTAAACTGAAAGAAAAGTACCATCTTTAAAATCAAGAGAAGAGTTTTCAGGCTTTCATTCTTGAGAACTGCCAGTGCCCCAGAAGTTCACAAACAAAACACCAAAGGAAAGGAGTGATTTCTAAGTACAGGCTCGTTCACAAACCAGATCCCTGAAACTGAAATTATATTTTCTGTAACTGAAACATTATTGAATAATCGGGTGAAAAGAAGCCAGAGGGAAACTTACTTTAAAGATCTTTCTTCTTGGAGATGGAGCCGGTAAAAGGACTGAGCAGCATGTTCTATCTTGGACAGTTTCAAAAATAGTGTCACATTGAGCAAAACTAGCAACAGCAAACTGGATGGAGAAAATCGGGCCTGGTCAGTCCACACGTAACCATATGTAAAGTGTTGCTAATGCAGAATAGACATTCAAAGATTCAAAACTTTACATATATTTAGTTAGTGTTCTCATTAATATTAAATCAATCATTCCTATTTTATTATAGGACCCCACAGCTTATAAGTTGACATTGAAGGAAACAATATAACGCACCTAGAATGAAAATAAAATCCTCAAAAGAACTCTAACCACAGGCTGGAATTGAGTCTGACATCTCTTTGCCAGGAATCCCAGCCAGTATTGATGTGTGACCACCAGCTTAGAAATCCACCTGGTAAGCTTTCAGGATCTATTTTTGAGTGCCTTTGACCTAAGCTATTATATACCCATAATGCTTCATTTCAAAAAGGAAACGAAGATCAATATGGAGCTGATCTCAGGCAGACTATGATGTATTCCCAGGAGAAGCCAAAAAATAAATATACTGTTCAGCAAAAATTTTGCTTCTCTTAGACAAAGTATAAAATACCAAACATGCATCAATGTTATATTATAGAAAGTATTACATGCTAAATGAACTTAATGTGGTGGTTTTCAAAGTAGTTTTTCACATGAGTGCATAACTGGAAGTGAATGAATAAATACATTATTATACATACAAGCATATGGGTGACATCTCACTACTTTTTCTGTGTTAAAATTTTGACTTAAATTTAAAAATTGTAATGTTCATTTTTGTCCTTTGAGATTTTTTAAAATAATAGCAAGAAAATTAAATGTGTGTATTATTTTGACTTTAAAGTTATTATATAGTCAACATTTGAGTATGATTTTATATAAAGTAGTACAAAAGAAAACTGAGGATGTTTGCCATTAAAAACGGTGGTCGCATCTCAGTGGAAGAGATGATATTCTGCCAGCTCAACTTTCAGACCAAGGATGGTCTCCCAATGAAATTGTTGAATTTATCTGGACAATAAGATGCTGGACTCTCCACATGGTCCATGCCCGCAATGAAGGAATCATGATTGGATATGATCTGTACTACTGTAACAATATAGAGAAATTCAGCATGGGGGAAGGGCTTGGGCAGGGGTTGGGGAAATACCAGAGCATATGAAACTGTGTCATAAAATGATATAAAATTTTAAAAAAAATGGTGGTCGCAAATCAGTTTAAGCATAATGTGAAACCTGTTATAAAACCCCTAGGAACCACAAACATTTTCTATGTATTGCAATGTATGATTACAAAGAAGCAGCTAATGTGAAAGCTTTATTCTATCCATGTATGACGCAGAGCAGATCACTGAGGTCCAGGTCCGTCCCATTCAGTCAGAAGGGCTGCTCTGACCCCTAAACAGCTGTGTGGGCGTCAGTACTCAGAAATGGGATGAAGTCTGCTGAATGGCTTTGATCATACATTCTGGGATCCATGCCCCGGTATTTTTCAGCATATCACATTCAGTTCACTTGCATCAGAATAATCCGGGGTGATTGCTTCCAAGTACTAATTCTTGATACCCAAGGAAGGCCTACTCAATCTATGTCTGGCAGTAGGATTGAAAAAGCTGCATTTGCACAAACTCACCAAGTGATTATTAGGCATAGTCAGGGTAGGAATCCCTGGTCTAGTCAAAGAAAGTGCTTTTGAGACTTTACTGGCATGTAAACATAAATGCTTCTATTCAACGTACAAAACTTCCAAAAAAATTGATGATGGTAGAAATAGATGGGTTAAAAAATAAGAAAAGCATTTAATAAGCATTTTATATTCCCTCAAATTTAAGAATTCTGAAAATCATACATCAAAATCTATCAGCCTGAAATTTACAAAATTATCGTTTTTGCGGGAGAACATTGGCCAAATAGTAACAATTTCTACAATAATGCATGTATGCATTCCAATTATCTTGACAACTAGTTCAGGATAAACAAAGACGCAACAAAGAAAGTATTCATAACAAATACTTACAAAATACTCATCACCACCACCAGGGCGGTGCTGTAGTCTTCCACTTCCTTCTTCCTTCTTCCTGCATTTCAAAAGCAAAAGGCTGTGTTAGAAGGCAGACTGTGATCATATACTACTACAACTGGTACATTCACTTGAAAAGAACTAGAAAAAAAAATTTAATTATTTGTAAAGACAAAATGATTTACAGCAAAACCCTATTTCCTTTTTTAAATTTCTGATATCCTGAGTAATCTGAAACAAATTTACATAGAGAAAACCTACTGAGTCCTTCAGATTTTGCCTATATTAAAATTAACTTGCTATTTTTTTTAAAGTTTTATTTATTTTTCATTGCAAAGTCAGATATATAGAGAGAAGAGGAGAAAGAGAGGAATATATTCCGTTTGATGATTCACTCCCCAAGCGGCCACAATGGCCGTTGCTGCGCTAATTTGAAGGCAGGAGACAGGAGCTCTTCCGAGTCTCCCACGCAGGTGCAGGGTCCCAAGGGTTTGGGCTGTCCTCGACTGCTTTCTCACACCACAAGCAGGGAGCTGGATGGAAAGTGGGACTGTCGGATTAGAACCAGCACCCATATGTGATCCCAGCATGTGTGAGGCTGAACTTTAACCACTAGGCTACCATGCTGGGTCTGAAATTAACTTGTGATTTAATTAAATAAGCAACACATCATGGATGATATTTTATTATTGTCTCTGACCATGATATTTGATATAGTTCATGTACCATGTTTCCCTCTCTTTAAAAAATTCAACTGTTCACCATTACCCAGTCTTTCAAATTCCATACTTAAGGGATCCTTCATTTTAAATAGTAGATAAATAGATTATATGAGGCTTAGAAGACTTGATAATGTAGGAGGAGAAAAAAGTATGACAACAATATGTGTATATATATGTGTGTGTATATATGTGTATATATATAAGATATAATATGTATAATATATAATATATGAGATATATATATACACACATATACATCTTATATATAATATAAGAAGGAGGGAGAAACACTTAGTAGAAACCAGATGTCTTCTACCTTGACAGTGAGGATAATAAAAGTCAAAGTACATCTTGAATTTTTTACTGGGCTAGTCCTGGCAGTACACAAAGATTTAAGAGTAGAACCTTTAGAGGCAGAAGTCAGAAGTTTGTAAATGCTAACTAGGTATGCAATAAAAGAGCAAGGCCACCCAGAGTCACACAGGCAGTGACTGTGGTGAGGGCTGTGCTGAGCTGTGGAGCACCCAGCTCTGACTACAGAGCTCCAACCAATGGCTACTGTGAAGGGTTTTGGGTATTGGGTTGTCAGAGCACAGTTTTTATATAAAAAAATTTTTAGTATGCCTGTGGGCAAAATAAAATACTACACTGAGTCTGTGCCTGCCTCCTTTATACTCCTTCTTCAGTTGTCTTTAAAGGACTCAGTGTGCGATCAACATCAAGAATGGTGGAAGACATCTGAGACCTCCCAATATGTGTTACACACAACAGGCACAATCTGCTTCGTTTTACTAAACATTTTCAGCTCTATGCACCTGTGAGATCCCCTTTGGCCTCGAAGGCTACATCTCCAGAAGAACGCTGAGAAGAAAGTTTAGGGGGTGCTTCTGCTGTCCGGTTGAATGTGCGCTTTCTCCTTCGCAGGCCACTAAGTTTTCCAGGTTCTTCAATGGACTGATTCAACACAGATTCTTCCATTAACAAATCCGACTCTAAGAAGTAGAGGGGGAAGAGATCTTTAAATAGTGATGAAAACTTCTCAACTGTAAGACACAAGGATTTTGGGTGAGCTGGTGGGTATTTGTTTAAGCTTGGGAATTTTTTTTTAACCATTCTTTAGGTTCTTATGGCTTAGATTCAAACTTCACTCTTAATGAAAAGCTTGGGAGAGCACAATGACCCCATAATGAGGCTTCATTGTTCTAGGAAGAACGTGTATGAATAAATGATGGGATCATGAGAGCAAATTTGCCATGTGCGATGTTAAATATTAATGTAATGGTTTCAGTTATGGAAACAACAGGCTGCCCATTTACACTGGATCATTAGAAAGATTTCCAGATAGGTTATGGTACTCATCTACCTCAGAGGAAGAAGGAACATAGAATAGTTCTAATTTTCAATGACAGTGTGTAGGAAGGGAAGTGTTAGTGAAGAAATTCTATGAACAGTTTAACAGCCTAATTTTTTCCAGTTATTTCAACTTTTTTAACACCATATTTTTTTTAGAAGCTTATTATTCAGTGAACAAGCTAATTCTTTAGTTTCATTTGCTCCATTCCTTATGAGGAGTTTAATAATGAAATCATGAAAGGGAGAAACTCAAGGAAAATAAACAATCAACAAAAAGATGATAAAGCCTTAAATTACTCTGAACTGTCGAATCATCATTTCTTCTTCCAACTAAAATTAATTAATGTGTGTTGATATATGTTTATATGCATATTTTTTAGTCATGCGCATGTTAAGAATTACACAGAGTAACTATATCATTTCCAGTATGCTCCTTTACCAAAACGACTTAAGTAACATAATGCCATTGCTAGACAGGCTGACATCATGCTGTGAAATTTGACTCCCAGCTTTCACTTTTAGAGAAGAACGGGCTTGAGGACTCTTCAAACCTTAGAGACAGAAAAGTTTCCCCATCTGGTCTGGTTGTGCACCTGCAGTCAGCTTCACGGCCTCCTTGCAAAAGAGGGAGTACTATCAACTGCTCTTAGCTACACGGATTTCAATCCCTTCTTTCACAAAACAGAGAACAGGCATACTCACCTCATAGTATTGTTCTGAGTGTGAAATAAGTTAGTTTTGACAAAGTACATAGGACTCTTAAGTCTGGCATATACTAAGCATTACACTCATGGTTTTTGCTAGGCTCAGGCAAAGTTCTGAAATTCCCCAAGCGGTACACAATGTGAGAAATGTGACAACATTAGTGAAAGTCATTGTAACATCATTTATCAGTTCCTTCTATGAATTCAAAGATTCAATCACCATTTTTATTAGTAGGTGCTATTTTTACGAAAATAAATTTAAAAATCACAAACCAAGTTGTTTGAAATAGTGCTCTAACGAACTCCAGGAATTCTTCTCAATAAGAGATTTGATAATGCCCCATGGATGCTTTCTGTATTTCATATCTGTAGAAACTCTAATAAGAATGAAAAATAATATTTAGGATTCTAGTTATATTAATATTATCAACATATATGCAAGACTATTCATCAGAAAGTAAAAAATTCAAAGTCACTAAAATTGTAAAAGCAAATGCGCTCATTAATAATGACCATTTAAAAAATTATTATGCTGCTAACAATTTTATCATTTTTTCCTTGTAACTACCTTTCACTTTATTTCTTTCCTTTCTCTACCCATGAATTGCATTACCTAAACAGCAAAAAGGCCAAAAACAAATGCTAAATCTTCTAACTGCTATCATTACCTCTTTAATGTATCGTTTCTGATTTCTCAATGCAGTAGGTTTGGTTACTGCTACCTAGTGCTCCCTAAGAATTCCCAGACCCCTTTCTATTAAACAGCCTCACATGATTACTTCTGGCCAATCCTTATGCTCTTCCTTCTTATGTCAGCTGAACTGACCTTCCTATGAACTGTGTTGCTCCAATTACCAAAGGCTTCTTCAGCTGGAGCTTTGGAGGGAGAAGCCTGACCCCTCTGCTGACCAGTGTTGGACATGTAATCTAAGTAAAAAATCAAGCTGCTGTGTAAAGCAAAGAAAGCATGACTACCATGGTACCTGAGCATAACCCAGCCTATCCTCATGAACACAAGGATTTACAACAGCTCACCTCAGCCTGCACTTCTGTTTTGAAGATCGAATAATACAGTATCTGTTCACAGTATAGAAGTAATCATGGTAGGGAACATCATGAGTCAGGACTTCCGCATCTACCATGTAAAACTGTGCTTCTCGACTTTCTTTGTACAGAGTCTGTCAAAATAAGATTTTAAAAACTATATAAGTACATATTCGGGCGGTAGTGCAATGGTTAAGGTTCTCGCCTTGAACGCACCAAGATCCCATACGGGCGCCGGTTCTAATCCTGATGGCTCCACTTCCCCTCCAGCTCCCTGCTTGTGGCCTGGGAAAGCAGTCAAGGATGGCCCAAAGCCTTGGGACCCTGCACCCCCATGGGAGAACTGGAAGAGTTCTTGGTTCCTGGCTTCGGATCAGCGCAGCAACAGCCATTGCAGCCATTTGGGGAGTGAATCATTGGACAGAAGATCTTCCTCTCTGTCTCTCCTCCTCTCTGTATATCTGCCTTTTCAATAAAATAAATAAATCTTAAAAAAGACTATATAAGTACATATTTAATATTTTGAGTTTCTTGGCTTTTCCTTCTCAGAAATGACAAAAGATGTGAGGAGTCAATGAACAAGGCTAGAAGAGCCTCCATGTTGGCTGTGCTGTCTGCAAGTTGAGAAGGTAATCAACAAATAATATTTGCTAGGTCAGTGTTGTGATGTAACAGGTTAAGCAGTCACCTTGAGCACCAGCATCCCTTTTGGACACTAGTTTCAGCCTCAGTTCCACTTTCAACAACTCTGTGCTAATGTTCTGGGGAAGCAGGCCAAACACAGCCCAAGTACTTAGGTCCATACACACATGTGAGAGACCCAGAAGTCCTAAACAATGCAATCATCTGGGGAGTAAATCAGAGGATGGAAGAGCTTCTCTCTCTGCACCTGTACGTTTCAGATAAAAATAAATAAGTAGCCTAAACTTCTTTTTAAAATACTGTTGGTTTTCTTCCATTTTCTTGCACATTTTTTTTTTCTTTTAGGCATGAAAAGGGAAAAAGAATCATATCATCTCTTTGTGTTTATTCATTTATAGGGTTGTAAATTTCTGTTAAGGGAGCAACTGAAAATCAATTGAACAAAATAAGGATCCTCACTTCCACATTCATCAGAATTTAGCAAAACTACCTCTCACCACAAATGTGAAGAAGGAAATCAGTAAAACAAATATCACTTTCCAGTCACAGGATTTAAAGTGGTTATCAGCCAAAATGTGCTGACATTAATCACATTTTTTCTACCCACCCTCTCAGGAAGAAAAGTTTCCAAGATTACCAAGGACTACTGGAATGCCAAATTTTTATCGAATGCTTGACAATCTTTTGAATGTTTTTGAAAGATACCATGCAATCCAAACAATGTATGTTCCATTTGAAATACCACAGTATCCCTTTCAGAATTTTCCTGCCAAGGTTTACACTGAAGGCACATCCACCACAGGATTAAGAACTTAAAAACTCTAACAAATGCCAAATTAAATTGCTTTGCATTTCTTCTCTTTAATTAGTAATGTATTGGTTATTAAGTATTTTTAATAAATAATATTAATTACTAGTATTAATAAATGATTGTTATTAAAAAAAAAGAAAGATAAGGGAGAGGGCAGGCATTTCATGCAGAACAACTCCTAAGTGAGTGCCTGGGTTCAAGCATTAGCTCCGCTCTGCAGCAGCCCTTTCCAGCTTCCTGCTAACACACATCCTTGGAGGCAGATCATGTACTTGGGTGGTCCCTGGCCACCCACATGGAAGGCTTAGATTGAGTTCTGGGCTGGCCCAGCCCTGACTACTACAGGCACTTCGGGAATAAGCTGGAGGATGAAGATCTCTCTCTATGAAATACAATGAATAATTTTTTAACATGAACAAAAGGTAAAGAAACAAGTTCCAGGGCTGGAGCTATGGCTCAATGGCTAATCCTACACCTGTAAGAGCTGGTATCCTCTATGGGTGCCAGTTCAAGTCCCTGCTGCTTCATTTCTGATCTAGTTCCCTGCTTATGGCATGACAAAGCAGAGGACAGTCCAAAGCCTTGGGATTCTGCACCTGTCTGGGAGACCTGGCTCCTGGCTTTGGATTGGCTTAGCTCCAGCCATTGTCGCCATTTGGAGAGTGAAACAAGGATGGAAGATCTTTCTGTCTTTCCTTCTCTCCATAAACGTGACTTTACAGTAAAAATAAATAAATCTTAAAAATAAAGAGAGAAAAAAGGAAGGAATGGAGAAAGGAAGAAAGGGAGAGAGGAAAAAAAGAAATAGCAATGCCTTTTAATGCTGATGCACAAATCTGTGAGAGCACAACTGGTTCAGATGTCCTTTGCAAAACAGCTAAACCATGTTTCAACACAATTAGCCAAACACGCTTCACTGTAAGAAGAATAACATTAAATAGCTTATATTCTCCACATATATTAGCAGCCATGTAGTTATTTGGCTTTAACCCTTGACATGATTCTGTAAATCATATTTCAGTAATGTTTCTGCTTTTAAATTTATATTATGTAAAACTGTGAGCACACACAAGAGTAGAAATGAAGTACAATGAACTCTCATGACCTTATGTGCCAAAGGCAACATTAACTCAGGCCCAGCCCTGTTTGATCCATGCCCCAGCCCCGCCTTCCCACCCACCACCACCCTCCATCTGACTATGCTGCACCTGAAGCAAACCCAGAAGCCACTGCAATTTCACCCACAAATACTTCAGTTTTTGTTTATAAATTTTTCTGTCTATAAATTCTTAACTATATTTCTTTTTTAAATGTTATTTTCTTTAAAATATAGCTATAAGACCACTATTATACATAATATACAGTTCTCTAAATCTTATATCTTTTTAACTAGTGATCTGCTTGGATTAAATTTGAGTTGGTATAGTTTATATGCCTCTTAAGTCTCTTAATATGATCATTTCTCTCTCTTCAGTTTTCCTGATCTTTATTTGTTCAATTTGCCTTGTAAATTGCTGAACTATAATAGGCATCTCCTCTCCTCACAGGAAGGATTCTTCTGGAATACCAGCAAAGTGGACATGCATACCTGCTTCTCGGTGGCACTGGTGCTTTTCCCGGTAAGAGGATTGTTAAGTACGATAGTGTAGGTCATGGTTCTCAGCTGATCACCTCCAGCTTCCACAGTCCAAGGAGTAGATACTACGTCTAATCACAGAAAACAGAAAGTAATTGGTTCTAACATTTTTTAAAGTTTAATCTATTTGAAAGGCAGAATAAGAGAGAGAACTTTATCCATCTGCTGTTTTATTCCCCAAAGGTCCACAAAATCCAGGTCTGAACTAGGTCAAAACCAACAGCCAAGAACTCCATCAGAACCTAAGTACTTGGCCCCCATCTGCTGCCTCCCAGGTGCACTGGCAGAAGCTGGAATGGAAGCAGAGGTGAGACTCCCCAGGCACTCTGGTACATGCTGCTCACTAGCCAAAATGGCAATCTAATCCACATCACTACAACATCTGCTTTCCCACATTTTTATTTTTGACTACTCGAACACTCCTTACAACTCCATTTTAATTTAACATTAAAGGAAAGAGTACTTCAAAATAATTATGAAAAATTGGAATGGGAAGATAGGGAGTTTTTCTGGATGCAAAAGCATGTTCGAAAATTACTCATAGTTTTTTTCATAGCATGCATTTCCATGAGCTTCCTCATGCCACACAAGTGGCATGATCTCCATCTCTGATTCATTTATTTCTAATTTTTTTGTATTAATGCATGTTTTACTTTTTTTTAAAATAAAAGTTGGTTTATATTTAGGCTTCCTTTTAAAAATGTCTAGTAGTTTGGACCTGGCGTGACAGCCTAGTGGCTAAATCCTCACCTTGTATATGCAGGGATCTCATATGGGCACCAATTCATGTCCTGGCTGTTTTACTTTCCATCTAGCTCCCTGCTTATGACCTGGGAAAGCAGTGGAGGATGGCCCAAAGCCCTAGGACCCTGCACCCATATGGGAGACCCAGAAAAAGCTCCTGACTCCTCGCTCCGGATTGGCTCAGCTCCAGACATCACAACCTCTTGGGAAGTGAACCACTGGATGGAATATCTTTGTGTCTCTCCTGAGCTTTCTACAAATCTGCCTTTCCAATAAAAATAAATAAATCTTTTTAAAAAGTAGTATCTCATCAGAGGCAGAAGAACACTCAAAATTCCCACCACTGAAGATAAAACTTTGGAATATATTTTTCATTATGCAACAATATGACCTTGGTACCAAGTGGTAGAAAAATGTCAGTTATGAGAAATCATCCAATCAGTGGTTTGTCTGCTAAAATCTTTAGTAAAGTTAAGGCAATAGAATATAAACTATTATATAATATTTTTATGTTAAGAAGGCAATAGAATCATTTCCACTTATGGCAAAAACTTAGTAGAAACCATTTTTTAATTACTCAAGGCAAGCACAATGAGTGAAAACTCCCTTTGAACAGAGACATAGCTATAAAACACAGCACTGTACAGTGAAGGTCATTTCATTCAGCCAGCCCAAATTGGGGAAGTATAGATAAGAGCATTATCAACTCTATTCAAAAGACCAGAAGAAATAAGCTAAAGCAAACACAAATAGACTTAGGCAATTTCTTAATATATTTGGCTTCTATTCAGCAACATCCTGAAGCATAAAAGCCTTTACCTAACCCATTATCCATCATCAAAGGAATACAGCAAGGCTTTATGATATAGCCAATTTTACTCAACTTCTTTTATACCATTAGGCTCAGGAATTTAATGAGGGATCTTGATGCTGCCTTTTCAGTATCTGCAAAGATCTTGTAAATAAGTTTAAAAGACAAACAAGCATATCACAAACTATGGAATCTGAACATGAAATAAGATATTCAGTTAATTTCAAAATATTTTCTAAAGATTACTTTGGTCAAAATTTCAAGAAAATAATACTAAAAATACACAGTTAAACAGGATTTAAAGATATCAATGGATTTTGCCATTTAAAATGCAGTGTTTGGGCCCAGCGGCATGGCCTAGCAGCTAAAGTCCTCGCCTTGAATGCGCTGGGATCCCATATGGGCACCAGTTCTAATCCTGGAAACTCCACTTCCCATCCAGCTCCCTGCTTATATGGCTTGGGAAAGCAGTCAAGGACGACCCAAAGCTTTGGGACTCTGCACCCACGTGGGAGACCTGGAAGAGTCTCCTGGCTTCGGATCAGCATAGCATCGGCCATTGCGCTCACTTGGGAGTGAATCATCGGGCGGAAGATCTTCCTCTCTGTCTCTCCTCCTCTCTGTATATCTGACTTTCCAATAAATAAATAAATCTTTAAAAAAAAATGCAGTGTTCAACAAAGGCACTGAACAACAACAACAACAAAAACAACTTCTTCCCATTCCTGTGACATCTGTGTTTTCACCAATGTTGTCAAGACCTGCTGAGTACTATACACTACACATCATCTAGCAATACTCTTCCAGTCCCTCAGTAAAGCTCATACAACATAAAACATCTGGAATGAAACCGTAAGAAAAATGGTAACAGTCCAGGAAAGGACCATATGAGCCATTTTGACATCTTTAGATGAAATAACACATAGCAGGACTTGCAAAGCTGACAGGTAAAGAACACACTGAAGCAATAAAGTTTTTAAATAGGAAAATCTTCATATCCAATGGGCTGGCTATTGTTAAAAAAATAAATATTAGAAGTGTTGGCAAAGGTGTAGAATTAAGGTGTGGATTAAAGATAATACCGATTTAAAGTCAACTAATGAAGAAAAAAATTAGATCCAGCAGTAGTAGTTTCAATACTGGAATTTAATCCATAAATAATTATTAAAGCAAGAAATTTTAAACAAAGCTCTTAATATTTTTAAAAGAAGCCCTTGAAACTCATCTTGCAGAAATATATAGCTGTGATTGCCAGGCAGTAAGTTCAGAGGGCAGTAGTGTGACTTGCAGTCACAACAGCTTCTCTCTGGGTGTAAAGCTTTTAAACTAAATCTATGTATAACTGGCAAGGTGCCCACTTAGACTTTAAATTCAACAGGAGCCTTCACTTCTAAAAGTCATTTATAACATCAGATGGAAGATATAGTCATATGTATGGAACCTCATATGATATCACACAGGTGAAAATGTGTTTCAAAAGACAAATTTGATTAAGTAATAGCATACACTAATATGTTTGTTATGGGCTTTTTTTTTTTGGCCATAAATATGGCAGGGTACCATAAACAGAAATCACGTGAGTAAATGAAGCAAGGGGTAGGACTTTAGTCAAACATTTAAGATGCCTCTTGGGATGCCTGGGTTTGAGTCCCAGCTTTACTTCAGGTTCCAACTTCCTCCTAAAGTACATCTTGGGAAGCAACAGGTGCCACTCACCAGGAACATTTGGGTTGAGTTTTCAGCTCCCAGCTTTGGTCTGGCCCAGCCTTGCTGTTGCTGGTTTCTAGAGCATGGACCATTGGATGGGAGCTCTCTGTCTTTCTGTCTGCCTACATTACTGACTCTCTGCCCCACAAATAAAGCTTAAAATTCAAAAAACAAAAAAAAATCAAGGGAAATGATACATCCAACTGTACTTCAGGTAGAAATGAACAGCAAGAAATTACAAAATAATCCAGGACAGATAATAATAACTTAAGTATAAGCTACTGAGTAAAGAAGATTTTTACCTCCCATATATAACACTTTTTTTAAAACTGGAAAAGAAAAATAGATACTTTTTAAAAAAATTATGCAACTCAATATAATTATAAGACTCATAACTATCAATTAGAAATTTTTGTTACTCCACTATTGCTAGTAGGAAGAAATAATTTTAGTACATGTAAAATCCATATCAATTTTAATATCTATAAAAATAGGTTTTTTTTATGTAAGTTTCAAAAAAGAGAATATTATGTTCTTAGAACTGCATCTATAAATCACACTGAATCTGTTAAAAAGTAATGAATCTTTTCTAAATTTTAAAGAAAAAATAAAATCAGCTTCTTATTAAAAACCCTAGAGTATAAATTGTATTTAACTTGAATGCAGAAGGGTTCAGCATGGTATCCTAGAAAGCTAATCCTCTACCTGCAGTGCCAATATTCCATTTGGGCATGTTTTCCATCTCAGCTGCTCCATTTCCCATCTAGCTCTTTGCTTACATCTTTGAAAAGCACAGGAAGAAGGCCCAAATGAAGTTCCTGGCTCCCAGTTTTGGATTAGCCCACTCTGGCTGTTGTCACCATTTGGAGACTGAACCAGAGGATGGAAGACTCCTATTTCTTTCATTTTCTTACTGTAAAATATGCCTTTCCAATAAAAGTTAAAAAAATAAATCCTTAAAAAACAAACTGACTGAAGAATCATTTTCTCTTTGACTGTGTCAGCTGAATGACCCTGCATGAACCTATGCTGCTGCTAGGTTCTAGTTTTACAGAATCAGCTGAACCATATGCTCTCCAAATCAACAAAGTACCTAGAGACACAGAGGATCAATTCAAGTCAACACTAACCAGAAGCTGAGCTGAGATATTTACCAAGAGAGAACTTTTAATTTATCAATACTTTTTGTGAATTGAAAATAATTTCCTAAATGTAATCTTCTTTTGTACTTTCATTGAAGTATATGACAGAATCTGTAATCTCAAGTGTATAACACCATGATTTTAAGATGTATTTATTTATTTTACAGGCAGAGTTGGGAGTGGGGGGAGTAGATAGAAAGAGGCAGAGGGAGAGAGGAGGAAGGATGAGAGGGAGAAAAAGAGAGCGCAAAAGACGTTTCATCCACTGGTTCAACCCCAGATGGCTGAAACAGCCAGGGCTAAGCCTGGAGCTCCATCTAGGTCTTTCCCATGGCAGGCAGTGGCCCCAAAACCTGACCATCTTCTGCTGTTTTCCTAGACACCTTAGCAGGAAACTTGTTTGGATGTAAAGTAGCTGGGACTCAAACCAATGTATACACAGGATGCTGGGGTCAAAATGGCAACCCCAAGCTCCACAATTTTCACAAAGAAAACACAGATCTATACTAGCACTCCGAATCAAGACAGAGAACTTCCACTCCAAAAATTTTCTCCTAGACTTTACCCACACAACTGTGGACAAAGGGAAATAACTACTATATTGACATGATGCTCATAGATTAAATGTTTTAATTTTATAAACATAAATTACATAAGGGTCAGCATTATGGCATAGTGACTCAAATCCAGGCTGTTCTGCTTTTGATCCAGCTTCCTGCTAATGCACCTGGAAAAGCAGCAGAAGATGCACTAAGTGTCAGGGCACCCAAAACCCACATGGGAAACCCAGATAGAATTCCTTTTGTTCCTGGATTCAACCTGGTCCAGCCCCAATCATCGTGGTCATCTGAGGAGTTCAACAATGTGTGAAAGAGCTCTGTCTCTGTCATCCTGAGTTTCAAATAAATAAATAACAAATATATCTTTCAAAAAATAAATTAGATAGTATGTACATTAAAAAATTTGTTTACTTTAAAGGCAGTTACAGAGACAGAGGGAGAATCAGATAGAGAGGTGCTCCGTCCACTGATTCATTCCCCAAACAGCTGCAACTCCCAGAGTTGAGCTGTCCTAAAGCCAGAAACCACTAGCTTTCCCCATGTCTTCCACGTAAGTGGCCCAAACACTAGGTCCATCCTTCACTTCCTATCTAAATTCTGTTTCTTAATATGTGTCTGTGAGATTTGCTCATATTTTTGCAATATCAGTAGCTTATTTTTTTAGTTACCACAACATTCTTTTATGGTAAAAACTGTATATACAACCTGTTTAGCCATTCTATTATTGATGAATATTTAACTTTTGAGTTTGGAGCCAAGATAGGTGTTAAACTACTAAGGCACAGATAGTTCATAGCTTTGGAAGATACTGTCAAACCATTCAACAAAGTAATTGTTCCAATATATACTAAACTTGCATCTAGTTGTTCCACAATGAAATCCTTTGAATTTAATCTAACTTCATAGATACATTAATGAATAATGCACCAATAAGTGTAGTTTTAGTTTTCACCAGATAAGAACATAATTGTGACAGCATCTTCCTAATTAAACAATTAGACTGTTAACATGTGAATCTAATCACATATTTAAATACTAGTTCATATATGGCCAAAATAAAATCAAAACATGTCTAATTTTTCCTAATAACATAAATCCATTTAATAGGTCCAATGTTTCAAGAATAATAAAATTCTCTGAAATGTATCATTAGGTAAGAACACAAAGACTAACCTATTATATTTCTGGAATTGAAAAATCTCTGCATGAAGCGTGAGCTGGTGAAAATCAATTCAAACATTTTCTCAGCAGGGATGTGAAAAACACGGTTGATATAAAGTCTTCCACGAAGATCTTTCTCAAGAATATTTTCTAGAGAAACAGAAACATAGAAAAAAATCAAAGAAAGACAATTGCAAGGTTTGGGGTGTTCTTGTTTTGTTTTTGGCATCAACTTGTTTTCAAATGTAATTATAGTGAACAGTATATTCCAAGAAACTATTAAACTCCAACTGGGATTATAAACATATGTACCATAAATAAGTATAACATATGGATTGCTAACTACATGAGATCTATATGTAGAAACATCTAAATGGAGGAGATGAAGATTCCATAATACATTGCTCAAGAGCATTTAGAAAGTGACAAGAGTAATACTGAGACACACATGATGGTACCCATTATAGCAATTAGCAGATCTTATCTATCACAGCAAATAGCAGATTCTATCCCTGTATGTATTTCCTATCAGCAATCATTATCAATGACTCCGACACCTGCTATACACACTAGCTTGTAAGCTTGAAGACCATTTTAGTTGGACTTAATTCATACTAACCTAAGACAAAGTTCACCGAATTCACAATGTATTCTCAACGCGACATATTGAAAGAACAACAACAAAAATTTCTTTTTTTTAAAGATTCTTTTATGATTGCACTTGCTTACTGGCTTTTGCTTCTTTTTTAGATTTATTTATTTTTATTGGAAAGGCGGATATACAGAGAAGAGGAGAGACAGAGAGGAAGATCTTCCGTCCGATGATTCACTCCCCAAGTGATCGCAACGGCTGGAATTGAGCCAGTCTGAAGCCAGGAGCCAGGAGCTCTTCCAGGTCTCTCATGTAGGTGCAGGGTCCCAAGACTTTTTTGGGCTGTTCTGGACTGCTTTCCCAGGCCACAAGCAGGGAGCTGGATGGGAAGCAGGGCCGCTGGGATTAGAACCAGCACCCATATGGGATCCCAACACTGATTCAAGGCGAGGACTTTACTACATTATCGTGCCAGGCCCCAAAAAATCCTTCTGAAGAGTATTCTGCAGTGCTAAACAATACCCATTGAAATATCTTTTTATTTCTGGGAACTTAATCGTGATTTTGAAAACTACTGCTTAGCAAATAAAGAAGCAGTATTAGTTCCTCACATCTCACATTTTCTGAAACATAGTATAAAATAACTCATACTTAGAGACTGGCTTGTAGCCACTTGAGATGCCATAACCCATATCAGAATGTTTGGATTCAACTCCTAGGTCTGCTTCTGATTGTAACTTGTGCTAATGTATCCCCTGGGATTCAGCAGGTGATGGCTCAGATAGTTAGGTTTGTCCCACAAGTTGTGGGAGTTGTCTAACACCTAGTTAGAGTTACAAACTCCTGACTTCTGCCTGGCTATTGCGAGGAATCTGGAAAATGAACTACAAAATGGCAGATGTTTTTGTCTGTGTGCTTCTCTTTCTGTCTTTCAAAATCAATGAAAGTAAATATTTAAAAAAATGATAGCCCACACTTCACAATGCTACTATACAAGTATCAGACATTACACACTAATCGCTTTGCAAGTTTTCACTCACCTTCACTACAGCTGTATGCAGTACATGGTAGCATTATCACCATCTCCACCATTACAGATGAGGAAACCAAGGCACAGAGAGAATTGCCAAGGCACCATGGTTAATGAATGATTAATCTGAAATTTGAACTACTCCAGTTGTGAAGCACAAAGCTTATCATATAGTTTGTAATGTCAGAAGTTTAACTTAGAAGATACAAAAGGAGATGAGAGAAAGAAAAAACAGCAGGAATAGAAACTTGGTATAATGAAACAAGAAGTGAAAAGCAATCCAATGGAAAATTGCAATGGTTTAAGGACCAAGATTGTTGTTAGTCTGTCAAGGATTATGGTTCAGTGATGCAAAATGAAAACTGGGACAAAAGCTTTCCATATTTCAAAAATAAAGCTCAAAGAATTATCTGTGTAAAGCATCAGTTGATACTAATCCCTGGGAAGTGGTCTGGTTAAGTGCAAGGGCAATGGCATATGAATCGGAAAAACTCTCCAAGCTCTGGCTTAACCCCGAATATTGCTCCCTCATTAAATTATTTGCATCTCTCTATTTTCCTACAGGTACAAAGGACAGAGGGACATCTGTAGATATTGATGCTCTCCCCCTACAGCAATGATACATGTAGTCAAAAACTGTTCACAGCAATCAAAAAATACTGGTGTAGAAAAGAATCACTAAATATATGCAATTTCTTAAGGTTTGGGACAGTAACTTCCCAGGTAGGCCAGGGAAACAGGTTTTGCTAACAGATGTATGCAATCTTCAATACAAAATAATTCAAACTTTCACAAAGAAAACAAACATCTGTAAGTGATTCCAATGATCCTATTCCTCTCTTTCACAGAATCTATCCCAATTTCAATCATACTCTGATCAGCTTGCTGACTCCTTATTTTTCTCCCTCAGTAGGGAGCACATCAGTTTCTTTACATATAGCAAATCATTAATTTTTAATGTTTACTACAGAGGTGAAGGGTGGGCCTCTAGTAGAGTTAGGAAGGGGAAGAGGGGTGAGAGAAATGTGTCTGAGGGTAGTGGGAGAGAGTGTGTACAGTTCCTTGTCAAACTAAGTTAGTTGATGGAAACAGAGATGGTCCTTTGACACCACTCAGGGACCTCAGATCAGGAAAGACAGTCATGGGGGTATTGAGCGGTCACTGTAGAAGAGATGACATATTCCATTTGTCCTCACCAGGCTTCTTTATTGTTCTTTTTGTATAAGTTTGGGACCGTGTTCATTTTAAACACCTATGTATAACTCAGTGCTTGACTATTTTTGAATGAACCAATTACTTCTGAAAATCTTAGTGTCTATTTTTATATATAGGAGTTTGGATTTGAAACTTTTAAAAAAATTTATGTTAGAATAATTTGAGATTTACAAGTAACTAAACTAAGCTTTTTTTTTTTTAAATTTCTTCAGCAACGTTCTTTTTTCTGTGTATGGACCCAAGTCAAGATATGTTGCATTTTAGTTGTTACACCTCTTTAGTCTCTTCTAATTTCTGACAGCTTCTCATTCTTCCTTTGTCTTTTTTAAAAATGTATTTATTTCTTTGAAAGGCAAAGTTACAGAGAGAGAAGGAGAGGCACAGAGAAAGCTCTTCCATTCTCTGAATCACTTCCCAAATGGTCTAACAACCAGGGCTAAGACAGGCTGAAGCCAGGAACTTCACCCAGGTCTTCCACGTGAGTGGCAGGGGCCAGGCACTTAAGCCATCTTCCACTGCTTTCCCAGACATATTCTCAGAGAGCTGGACCAGAAGAGAAGCAGCTAGGAAATGAACTGGTACCAATGTGAGATGCCAGTATTTTCAGGTAGCAGCTTAATGTGATATACTTCAATGCCCCTTTCCTTGTCTTCTCATGACCTTGACACTGACCAGATATTAGAACATCCCTCATTAGATGTTTCTTCAGGATTATATTGGGGTAATGGATTTTAGGAAAGAATAGCATAAAAGTGAAGGGCCCATATGTAATCAAACTCAGGCAGTACAGAGTACATCAACATAATTGGTGACGATTTTAACCTTGATCACTCAGATGAAGTAGTGTCTGGTAGATTTCTCCATCATAGTTACTATTTTATCTTTTTCATATTCTACACATTGGCAATGAGTCACTAAGTACAAACCACACCTAATGGCAAGAGAACCAAGCTCCACTCGCTAAAAGAGAAGGAACATACACAGTGAGCACATTGGGAAAATATAAGGGATATCTGTGCTTTCTTCCCCATTTGTGAGTTTCTTTGATTGTTTATCTTGGTCAGTATGGATTCTTGAATAGTTACTTTACTTGTAATGTTAGACTCCAGCAATACAATCACTGTGTATTTTTGTTGTCCAAATTATTTACTTTGGCCATCAGTAGCTATCTCAGGTTGACTCCTGTGCTCACTTTAAATCTTTTTCTTTAGGAAGCAGAGGAGCAGACAGACATAGACAGGCTGAGACCTTCCATCCATGGGTTCACTCCCCAGATGGCCACAATGACCAGAACCATTCTCAGCCAAACCTGGGAACTCAATCCAGCTCTTCTACTTGAGTCACAGGAACCAAATCACTAGAGCCCTCACTCAGGATTTGCGTTAACAGGAAGCTGCAGCCAGAGCTGGAGTGAGGAATCCGATGTGGGGTGAGGGCATCTCAATCTCTGAATCAGATGTCTGACTTCCGCACTCTTTGGACACACTTCCTTCCTTACAATCTCATGCCAAACATGCTCCAGGATCATCTAATACATTCCCTACCTCAGTCCTAGATTAGCCACTTGTTGAAGGAGTTCTAGAACTGTAATTTTTCAAAAATAAAACTTTTGTTCATACTTAAAAGGCAATACATTTTTTTCTCATTTACCTATTTTCATATAATATTTTATGTGTCTTTTAGGCAACATGATTCAAAAAATGTTTGGGATTAAGACTAGTAAAAACAGAATCTGTTGTCTTCCTACCAGAAACTAACAATAATATCTTTTGTATATATATTTTTCCAAAGAAGTAAGCATATAAAATAAACTATTTTCTCCTGAAACATTCACTTGTGAAACTCCTGGAACTTTAAAATTTCCTATCCAAATAACATCTTCAATTGCATTGCTGTAGCATAGTAAGTTAGCAGGTGGTGTTTTTAAAATGGGGAAAGTGGCCCAGGATAATGGTTCAATTGGACAATCCTCACCCTAAGCTCCAATGTCCCCTATGGATGCTGGTTCATATCCTGGCTGCTCCACTTCCCATCCAGTTTTCTGCTTATAGCCTGGAAAAATAGAGGAGGATCATCCAAAGCCTTGGGGCCCTGCACCTGAGTGGGAGACCTGGAAAAAGCTCCTGGGTTCTTGTTTCAGATCAGCTCAGCTCTGGCCATTGTGGCCACCTGGCGAGTGAACCAGCAGATAGAAGATTTTTCTGTCTCCTTTTCTCTTTGTGCATTTGCCTTTCCAATAAAAATAAACAAGTCTTTTAAAAAATGGGTACTGTTTTCACTAATGGAGAAATATTACTTCAAATATAGTAGTTT